TTTTTTTTTTTTTTTCCACCGCTCCAAGCTTGCTCCCTTGATGAACTACAATCTCGATACAAACTAGTAGTCCATCACTGGAGCCATTTTTTTTTTCTTCAATCCGATAAATCGAACTTAATCGGCTAACCCATTTTGAAAATAATCGTTAGCTGCAGCCCTAGGTGGCTTGATTGATACTAGAAAAATAAAACGTATGTTATGATTAATGGTTAGCTCTTGAAAAGACAACTAAAGTGAATATTTTGGTTTGCTTCCCATAGGCTTATCCCGATGGCAGCAGCAAAGAAAAAAGAAGAGCAGCAATAGCTCAGGCCCTTGCTGGAGAAGTGAGTGTTGTGCCTCCATCACGTCTCATGGCGCTCTTGGGACAGGTAATAACTTATCCTTTACTTTTTATGATATAGCTTTGTGATTATACACTTGTTCTTTAAATTGAATGTGTATGGAATGCACAGTGCTATGCTATAATGTACATAAACATATTTCATTACTTGTTGAAATTTATCTGTTTATTTTCTGTTGTAATTTGGATGATGATAATCTGTAGTCTGAAAGGATGTCCAGCTGTCTTCAATCTCGCTACAAACGGCTTTATATTACCTTCTCCAGGCATTAAAATGGCAACAACATCAGGGACTTCTGCCCCCAGGAATGACTATTGATTTGTTTAGAGGTAAAGCAGCAGTGAAAGATGTGGAAGAGGAGAAATTCCCCACTCAGCTGAGTAGGCACATCAAGGTAAATCTTTCTAGAGATTTGTTGTTTGTCATTTGTAAGGTTTGCTGCTTTCATGCCCTTATGAGTACTTCAAACCTACTCATCCCTCAAACCTGCACCTATAATGTCAAATGTAGACCCAATATAAAAATTAGCTTCTGTTTTTGTATATGCTTGTGCATTTTTTTAATATCTGTATCGCGGTTGAATTTTCTTTTGCAGTTTGGTCAGAAATCACATGTGGAATGTGCTCGCTTTTCACCCGATGGTCAGTATTTGGTTACAGGATCTGTTGATGGGTTTATTGAGGTTTGGAACTTTACAACAGGAAAGATCAGAAAGGCAAGTACTATTACACACAAAAGAAAAAAAACAATTTGTCAGTTTGTGCACTACCAGCATCATATTTTGCCACACACTTTGTCATTGTCCGTTTTGCCGAAGACTTGGCAGTGTGGCCAGTGTTTTACTTTTTCACCCAATGAAATACTGAAGAAAAGGGTTCTTGTATGCCGAGTACAAAACCCCCTCTTTATTCTCTAGCATTTTACATACAGTACATGGGATTTTACACAAGCAAAGTGTGTGACTGCAGCCTTAGTACCCTGTTTCCCCTAAAATAAGACCTACCCCGAAAATAAGACCTAGTTGTGACCATTCCCAGGGCCGGTGGTGGCATAAGGGGGAACCTAAAGAGCCGCGGGAGAGAATCAGCGGTGCCAATGAAGCCAGCGCTAGAGGAAGTGAGGCGGCAGCGGAGGGAGCAGTGCTGCATAAGGCGATGCTTCTTCTATAGCGCCGCCTCCTGTCACTGGCAGAGTGATACCAAATGCACTCCGCCTGTGAGGAATCGATAGTGAAAGTGCGTTTCGCTCATTCTGGCCAGCGATTGTTTACCAAATTGCTCTTGGAAAGGTACGGCACCGCTGATTGCCCTGATCACCCTATTCTTAACTTTGCCATTTTGGATTATTTAATTTGGATTTGCGTTAATTTTTGGATTGTTGTATGTTGTACATTAAAAAAAAATATAAGAACTTTCCCCCGAAAATAAGACCTAGTGTGTTTTTTTTGAGCCCAAAAAAATAGAAGACTGTCTTATTTTCGGGGAAACACGGTACTAGGCATAAGCTATGTACAATAAGTGGGGACAGTTGCAAAAATACTACTCCGTAGGTAGCGTGGTGGTATGCAGGTCTGGTAACAAACATTGGAAGAGCTAGTTAGATATCAAATGCAACCGACTCAATTCTTGGTCTAGTATATAGGTTAATATTCTAAATATGTGTCAGATATAGTAGATACTGACCTAAGAGTAATGTGATACAATGTGTAAAAAGTGCAAAACAAAAAAGGAAACGCATGTATATAACATGCACCTTAGTGTAAATGTACACTATCACATTGATTCACAGTTAATATTTAGTGCATTTGATTTTTCATTATGGATATTTTGTAGCAATTACATTTACACTAAGGTGCATGTTATATACATGCGTTTCCTTTTTTGTTTTGCACTTTTTACACATTGTATCACATTACTCTTAGGTCAGTATCTACTATATCTGACACTTTGCGGTCTCATTCACACAGCGCGGCTTTTACCATTAATTTCATACGTTATATCTGACCACACAGATTTCAGCTGCTGCTTAACTTGACTAGAGTAGTGGCGCGAGGTTTCACATCATTCAATATTCTAAATATGTGTTGGCTTTTTAGGATTTGAAATATCAGGCTCAAGATAACTTCATGATGATGGATGACGCTGTATTGTGCATGTGCTTTAGCAGGGATACTGAAATGTTGGCTACAGGAGCACAAGATGGAAAAATTAAGGTAAGGTTTTAAACAACTGGAAAACTAGGGACTTGTTTGTAAAAGAGAGTATCACCCTTGGTCACCATAGTGTTTACTACACAATGTGTCTGCATTCGGTGTGGGTCTGGTCTGCAGCGGAGTGTTTCTATTTATCAATGCAGAGAGCACTTCGTGGTCGGAGGAGAGTCTGTCCCATATCTGACAGGTCATGTAACTGTGCTTTTTACCTCCTGGCTTTTTATCCTTAAATTATTTTTTTTTTAAATGAGGCTTTGCTTTAAATTTATAAAGCACTACACTGTTGTTTATAAATGAGAAGGTTTTTATTCCCGTTAAGCAGCGCTACGGCTGCAGTAAGAATATATTACTGCTTTTTAACTTGACCACTTAAAAGATAAGCAAAGCCAAACCTGCAGCCAGGAAGGATCCCAACAATATTGTCCGGTTCCACCTGGCTGCCTGATTGACAGCTGACTTTGCCTCTAGAGCCAGAGCCAGCTGTGTCCACCCCCCCCCCATCTTGTCCCTCCAGTGAACGCTGGAGAGGGGAGTCGTGACTGTTAGGGAGGAGACCCTGAGCTAAAGCATTAACGGTTACATTAACGTTCCGCTCTCGGTATAGAGCCGGCGTGGGACAGCTGCAATGTCCCACGCTAGCTGTATGTATTGGGAAGAGTATATTTTACTCTCCCAATACTTCTCCTTTAATGTTCCAGGAGAAGATGTAAAGATTCTAATAGAAAAACTTTTTTCCTTCATTTTTCCTACAGGTGTGGAAGATTCAGAGTGGGCAGTGTTTGAGGAGGTTTGAACGTGCACACAGTAAAGGTGTCACATGCCTTAGTTTCTCTAAAGACAGCAGTCAGATCCTCAGTGCTTCATTTGACCAGACGATCAGGTAATTTCATGCATACTTATACTAGTCTAAAAGTGAATACTCTTCAGATTCTTGCATAACCCACTCATTTATAGAGCTCTTTAAAAAACAAATCCTGTATCCACCTTGTAGGGGACATGATTGTAATCTTAAAATAATCACTGCTATGTCCTTTTTTTATTTTATTAAGTTTAGATTGTGTATAAACTCTTCTGAGTTCATATGACTTTACTGTTTTCAATTGTAATGTGACCTATTTGCTAGCAAGTTATGATCTTTCTTAACCTTTTTTTATGTAGAATCCATGGCTTGAAATCTGGTAAAACACTTAAAGAATTCAGAGGACATTCCTCGTTTGTGAATGAGGCCACTTTTACACAGGATGGTCACTATATAATTAGTGCATCATCTGATGGCACCGTAAAGGTATGGATATATAGTGTTGTGCATCTTAAAATTATATTGTTTTACATTAAAAAAATGTTTTATTGTAGCCTTCTAGGCCAAGAAGTACAACATATAAAATCAAGAGGAGTAAATTAAGAATATACATTGGCACTGTAACAGTTGTCTAGGTTCAATCGATTAACTGTTTCATTCTGGATGATGGATTTAGTGGCTGGTAGCTGTGTTTTATGTTATTTTTAATATGTGGGGTTCTTTTCTTTTTATTAATGTGTTGTGTGGATTTGGTCTTTCAAAACTGATCAAATAAATATATATTAAACTTTAAAATCAAGACGAGTCTGCACAAGAGTTAACATTTCCAGGCTGTGGTTACTTGGTGCTTAAGGGACTATGATAATACATGGCTCCAAGCACTCAAATATTGAATAAAGTTTTTAGTCTTGCAGATCAAATTTGATATAAAATCTTATGTGCAGCTAGCAGTCAACGTGAGACCTGAGTTCTGTAATAGTCAGGTTGCAGATAATACTGTGTAGCCTGAGGCAGTACAGGCCACAGTATTCTAAAACAGAAGTGTGCATTTTCACTTAGGTAACCGCTGTTCTGACAAGTTCCTTGTATGTTTGCGTGTTACCCATATCAGTGTATCTGTTCATACACCATCATCTAGCATTAGACTGTGCTCTGCCCTTGATCTAGCATTGCTTTCAGGAGTTGGGCAGTGGAAAACTCAAGCAATAAACAGGATCTTTGGCTGTGAAAAATAACAGCTGTCATTACAGGTTCCCTTTTAAGGTTAGCTGTAAAATGCTTACTAGAAAACGTGTTTAAATAGGATGCAAGCTTACACAATCAGGGATTTTTCTCTCATTGCTATGCTTCAACTGCATGAACTTTTTATGTATTGTCTGTATTATCCACCTTTTTTATGCCTCACTTTTTGCTCTCTTAAAGAGCATTCATTGTGTGTGTGTGTATATGTATGTGTGTGTGTGTGTGTGTATATATATATATATATATATATTTCAACTTTATGTTCAGGTTTAAAAAAAAAAAGAAGTTTTTGCAAGGTAAATTTTAGATACGAATATTTCATATTTACATTTACAGCTAACAGAGTTCTTATTGTTTACCAGGCTAGTCTTTGCTGTTTTGCTAAAAAAAACAGCCTGTTTTTATAGAGCTCAAAAGCTCAAGCTCAGATTTGCACTGTTTAGTAACTCCTCCCCTTCCTGTCTGCTCTCCTGCCCCCCCACAAGTAAATTTATTTTATTGGTTTTTACAAAAGTGTCAGACTTACAAGTATTAACCTTGCGGAAATAGACAAAATTAAACATTGACTATATCAGTGCATATAGTCAAAATGGAAAGTCGACACCAAGAGGGGGGCAATGGTTACAAAAGTCTGGTTAGAGAAAAGGGAATTGGCCTTTGTTGTGCCCACTCTTTAGAAGATCTAAAATGCTATATAACTTCAGTAGTATGGGCACAGTCTATATACTACTTTGTTAAAAATATTTTATATAAATTGTTAAAAATATATGACGGTTTTAAAATACATTTGATGTAGGCCTTTATAGTTTCACTTAATGATACCCTTTAATCCTCCTTTTTTTTTTTTTGCCCCAAATCTTGCCACTGGTCATGTTTGTCAACGGACCATGCAGTCATTTTAGTTACTTTAGGAAAGTTCAGAATGAAACATAACATGATAATCGCGGTTTGTTTATTTCTTTATAACAAAGATGTGGAATATGAAGACTACAGAGTGTGCCAATACCTTCAAGTCCCTTGGAAGCACTGCAGGAACAGACATTACAGTTAACAGTGTCGTTCTGTTGCCAAAAAATCCAGAGCACTTTGTTGTGTGTAATCGCTCGAACACAGTTGTGATTATGAATATGCAAGGACAAGTAAGTGGCTTGAGTAAATGTCATCACCAATTATTGTAGTCTGTAAGATTACTAATCACAAGACTGAACAATGTATTTGGGAACAAAGTCCAGCATTTAATCATGCTCTGTGATGTTAATGTACCAATAGCAGTCAATCGTATTTAAGCATTTATCATTTTATATCTGTCAAAACAATGAGAAATGATTGGTCACCGGTTGCTAAAGTGTACACTATATTGCACTTGGATAATAGTGATATTTTTGTTATGCATGGGCACTATTGGATGGAATTGTAGGTTTGTCTCCTCCCACAAGACCATACAAAAGCGGTTCTATCTCTGATGGATTCCGGAATTGTTTGTTCAAGCTGAACTCCGGGATGAGCAAAAAACAGAGGCATATGTGTTCTCATTTGAATCTTTTTGTTTGCTTTGTGTATTTCCTCCAGATCTTTGCAGCAATCCAGTGTTAAACTTTGCCTGTGTGAAGGAGCTTCCTGTAATAAAGATCAGTCAATGCTGCTTAGGGTGACTGATCTTGTATCTTGCCCCCTCCTGTTTGTTTTCTGCAGGCAGCCTGTAGTGAGTCTGATTGGTCCTTACCACAGCTCTGTTCTCTGCATAAGGTAGTATCGGAGTTTGCAAAGGCATTTGGTGGGCACAACGTGTATTTAAATCCTTGGTGGCTTTGGAGGAATATGTGTAAATGAAAAGTTTTTGTGGCTAGAGTTTAGCTTTAGGCGTAATGGGAAATCCATCATGGACATGTAACATTGTCATTTGATTAGAAAACATCCAATTCTTTGGGAAAAACATGAAAGCAGTTGGCCAGCCCCTCCAACTCTTAAGTTTTTTGCTGGTTTCTTAGGAGAACTGTATTTTTTTTTTTTTTCTAGACTACTGATTCTACTTGTATGCAGTTATCCAGATCAGCTAATCCTCTGCTCCACCATGGAAGCCAATACCCAGACCCTACTAGACAGAAGATTGCAGGGCTAGTCTGTAATGTGTCCTTCAGGCAGTGGGATCTGCTTGTAGCACTCTCCAGACACCTAGTATACTGTTGCTAGCCACAAAGTGCTTTATAGGTCCAGGACCTAAAACCAGCATCAGGTGTAGATGACACGGTCATCTACGACCATAAACCACTACGGTTTCCTTAGTTGGTTGTGAATACCCCATGTGCTTCTGGTGTATATTAATTTGCCTTACTTGTACTGCAGAATAATGGATCCTAAGCACAAAGCAAGTCTGGGGTGGCCTATAGCCTTCCTCCCAGAGCATCTGACACCAACAGCTTGGATCGTTGTCCACTGCTTGGGTCTACACACTCCTCCCTAGCTCCAACAAAAGTGGCTCCCTCGTCCAAGGAGTCTTTCTAAACGATGCAAGATTTTATGAACAAGATTACTGCCATGGTAGCTGACTCAGAATGCAAATGTGCTTCCATGTCCTCGCCTCCAGAGTCTGTCTCTAATATTCCTGCAGAAGCCACTGCACAATCAGCTGTTAGCATTTGTACTCGGTTGGGCAGTCTGCATATCGGATGCTTGGGTGCAAGAGGTAGTTTTTCATGAGCTACAAGCTAGTTTCACTCCCAAACCCCCTTCCCGGATCATCACTTCCTGCCTTCCTATAATACCATGCATATTAGAAGTTCTTCGGGCAGGTCTTCTGGATCAGAGTGTCAGCGCCCCAGTTACTGTGGCAGAACAGTTTTAGGGGTATTACTCCAACCTGTTCAGTACCCAAAGCCAAAGGGAGCATTTGCCCCATTTTGGATCTAAAAGCTCTGAATGTCTTCATTCAAGCTCAGAAATGCTGTATGGAAGGTCTACCAGGGAGATTTTCTGGTAACTGTGGGCATCATAAATGCATGCCTACTTGTCCTTATCTTTCCAGTGTACCACCAGTTTCTTTGCTGTGCTCTTGGAACATTTCAGTTGAGGGATACCTAAGCTGACTCCTACTGAGGGAACAGTTGGCACAGGTTCTGCCTTGACTATTTGTAGAGGTGCGGAACTTTCAGAAATTGGTACTGGACTCATCTCCTTGGAGCATCTAGGTTTATTCCTAGACCGCTCAAGCTAGAGTTTTTCTTCTCGAGTAGAAACTTTGATCTCCCCACTCCCAGACTTGTACTATTCAGTCTGAGAGTTGCCCAATTCTTTGCTTTTGCATATGAGTCTTGGGGCTGCTGGTAGCCTCATTTGAGGATGTCCTATTTGCTCAGTTTCATTTAAGACCCCTACAACACAGCATTCAGTCATCATGTAACAAGTCAGTCTAGTTCCTGGGCAAATCGATTTTATTTGGTGCCAAGCAACAGGTTGCCCCTGGTTTGGTTACTCAAGGGTGTACAGACCACACATACACACACACACACACACTAACTTTATTTTGTTTGCCAGTGTCCAGTCCTCCAGTAGAGGCTGCAGAATGACTTCCTGTGTCCATCAGTGAACTACAAGGGAAGGTGAAGGCAAGTGTAGCATGTTAATCCTTTTGTTCCAGTATTTAACTTCCGGCTACCACTCCATTTCCGAGAGATGATTCCTTATGTGCTAGGTTCCCACATTCTAACCAGTTGAAGCACACAGAAAATTCCTAAAGCATGGGGGAGTCAGGATAGGAAAGATCTATGCAGAGAACTCTATGGCCAGTACTTTGCAGGTCCAGACCCATGGTTGCTGGGCACTATGCTTACCACATTCTTATTTGCACTGTGGCTACTGGATATATTTCACCAGTTATAATTAATATTTGCTTAGTTTATCATCTTTGCTAACTATCTATGTTGTCCATTTTCCATCAGATTGTTAGGAGCTTCAGCTCTGGTAAGAGAGAAGGTGGTGACTTTGTGTGCTGTACACTATCACCCAGAGGAGAGTGGATCTACTGTGTTGGAGAGGATTTTGTGCTATATTGTTTCAGCACTGTAACTGGCAAGCTGGAAAGAACCTTGACTGTAAGTATAGACTTGATTTATTCATATGCTATAATTATTAGTAAGAAAATTAGGTCTTTACGGCAGCGGTCTGTTACTGCCGACGGCAACATAAGCTGTATTTGAATTAATGTAATATTACATTTGCAGTTAACATTTATTTTAAACTTAGGCTATACAATGTCGTATTCCCCTTTCAGAGGAAAAGCCCTAACTCTCTTGTGCCTTTATGTTACCTGTTAGATTTAGTGCCTACAGTTGGAGATTAAAATTGTTATAGACATATCGGGCAAATGTGCTTACATGGGTGATAACGCCTACCACCCACAATGCAGTGCTTTGCGTTTAAGCAACCCATTACCAGGGTTGAGTTAGCCATTGTTGTAGTAACCTAGTAACCCTTTTGTTGGTGGTCTGAGTAAACCTGCTTTTGATGCAGAAGAGGAATTCCTAATGCCCACTTTTAGGTGGCTTCCGGTCTCTCATAAAGCCAAATGTAAAAATGGTGACTCCTGTCAGATTTTTTTTTTGGCATCGCCGACCCCTCTAGGAAGAGTATAGTAGTGTATACACTAGGGATGCACCAATGCAGGTTTTTTGGTATTGAGTACGATATTTATATTTCGGTACTCGCAGATACAGAGTACCGATACTTCCTGTAGCATGGAGCCGACTTCACGGGCAATCAGGAAGCCAGGCAGCGTGTCATTACCCACTTGCCCGGATTCCTGATTGGCTAGAATGCCGGCTTCCCAGCCAATCAGCATGGAGCCGGCTTCCCAGCCAATCGGCATGGAGCCGGCTTTCCAGCCAATTGGGAAGTCTGTAGGTGGGCCATTAACCTGCTGCCCGGCTTCCTGATGAGCTGGGAAGCCGGCTCCATGCTGATTGGCTGGGAAGTCGGCTTCCTAGCCAATCGGCATGGAGCAGGCTTCCCGGCCAATCGGGAGTCATTACACACAGCCCGGCTTCTTGGTTGCCCGGGAACCCGTCTCCATGTTCCCTCGCAGCACTGCCAGTCAGAGGAAATCTCCCTCTGGCCGGAAGTTCCGATATCGGGGGTAAGTATCGGAGCATTTGAGCAAGTAAGAGTACTCGCCCAAATACTTGATATCGGCACCGATCCTAGTATACACAATACGAATTTCGGCCGCTTCGACACCCTTCTGGCTGGCATCCCTTGATCAGCAGATTGAAGGAGCAGGCCGGAAGGTCTTCAGTTGAATGGAGTTTGCTGGCAATCAACTGCAAGCTACTTTCGGATATTCTGGCAGTGGCCGCTGTCAGAATACAATGCAAATGGTGGTGGGTTCTTGAACTACTTTCTAATAATACATTTTCTGGGCACTACCTATATCTATAATTTTTATTCATCAGTTTGCATGTATGCTTGCATGTGACCCTAATAACTCAGATAAGATGCCATTTGAAAATATTGTGATGGGTTCATAATTATGTAGAATTATCTTCTACTTTGTTCATAATTACCTGTAATGTTTGTCTGTATTACTTTAGGTCCATGAGAAGGATGTAATCGGAATTGCACATCATCCTCATCAGAATTTAATTGGCACCTATAGTGAAGACGGACTTCTGAAACTGTGGAAACCTTAGTACTGCAGAATACCTTTCCTTTATTGGGAACAGACTTTAGGCTGCGCCAGTATCATTTTTAAATGATTTAATTATATTTTGTGTTCACTTACACCAAGAATGTGTGTTTGCTCATTTCATATCTTTATATGGTTCTGGTGGCATATTTTCAAAGTGACGTAATACAAAATGTTTAGGTTTCATACTTAGATGCTGATGGTCATTTCTTCAGTTGAGCTGGGACAATATGTGAAACTATGTATATTTTAACCTTACTTTGTCCTACATTCTCCAACTCCATTAAACTGATTTTTATAGAATCCCATCACTTTTTTTTTTTTCCAAATACAAAACTTTAAAAAAAGTCTTGCGTGTCTAATTGCTCACCATGGCATGGAAGTCTCTATCCTGGGTCAGTGGTGCCAGCTAAGCACATCAATTGAACATTAACTTCTTATAGGCATCTGTGCAAAACTAGGCTGTTCTTTACAGCCCACCACTTCAGTCATTGTGTAGGGAGCCAAACTTACTAGCATTGCAGGGATAAGACCCGTCCTTCCAGATCAACTAGATGTAATCAAAGTGAAAATTGGATACTTCTTTAGAGTTATTTCTTATGACAGTATGAGTTTTGGGGGACATCTTTCACCATAAAAAGCAGTCCTTATACTGCAGTTAAATGACTTTGCCTAAAGTGAGACTGTCATCAGTCTGTTCTGTCTCCTCCAAGGATAATACTGCAACATTATACTTTAGTCGCAAGTGTCAAGTAAGAACGAATGGAGATATTTCAGCAAAATAGATCCCAATGCATTTCACCAAAATGTCAGTGAAACAATTGCAGGCTAAGACTTGATTTTGCTTGTCCTGCACGAGCAAAGTTTTTAGTTTTTACTTTGCTGACATTTTGGGTGTTTCAGTCAATTATAAACTAAAGCATTGTTCGAGAAAGGTGTCAGTTTCCACCACCCTCTGAAAAGCGATCTGGTGGATCGCTTTTTAGAGGGAAATGGAACAGCGGCTGCCAGGTGTTCGGGATGTGCAGCTGCGGCCTCCTGAATGCAGGGTTTTGTGGGTTGTGTTTTTTTTTTTTTTTGTGCTCCATGAGATTTTCTATAGAAGTACCATGGTACGGTAGTATTCTTTTCAATTGTGTAGCGACACCACCTGTCCAACGTGACATGCTGTATATTTTTGCTGAAACGCAAAGCTTCACAGCTGCGGCAATGTGTAACAGTACTGTGTGGCCACAGTGCTGACACTACAGTGGGTGGCTGGGGTGGGGGGGTGCAGTAAAACCGACAATCAACCGCATGGTTTTACCTCCACCCATGTAAACAAGGCCTAATTTTGCTGAAATTTCAACAATTCAGTTTTCTTAACCTCTTGCCGTCCGCCCGTAGTAAAAAAACGGACGGACGGCAACAGGAAGTAGATGCTGTCCTTGGATAATGCCTGAATAAAGATACTTCTGTAGAGAGAAGAACATGAAGGCATTGTCGGGTAATTCATGTAAATATTACAATTACGCATTACTTTGACATTCACGTAACATTTCTTTTAAATACAAAAAAAATTATGTATCGTAAATTGAGGGACACGGGAACCTTAGACATAAAGGTTATACTTAAATACGAAAAAACATGCTATTTTAAAGCCTTCAGATATCTAAAATAAATTAAATGACATAAATACCGCTAAAATAGTGAATTACAGCTACAGCTCGCGGTATACTGAGACGCCGCAGCTGAAGTGGATCCCGACAATTGTGCCGGGATCTGCCCAGCTGGGTGACTGACAGCTGGCTCTGCCTATCTAGAGGCAGAGCCAACTTTCCCCTCCGTATGTCCGCCAGTCAGCGCTGGCGGAGGGGGGAATCCAGCCCCTCCCGTCACGGCAGAGAGCCGTGCGAACCCGGTATGTGTTCGCTCACCTCCCGATCTACTGAGCCGACCTGTGACAGTCTCATTGTCACAGGTCGGCTAGAACTATGAGGTGAGTGAAAAGCTCTCGCCTCATAGTTCTCCTTTAACACCATATGCAGTCTGTTCAGCTTGGCTGCTGCAGCCAAAATACATCACAATGCTTTCCTATGGGCTTTCTTGTGCTGTATTCACACCATTGAGGTCCGTTCAGATGCAGTCTGAAAAAATACTGTTCGTCCTATTTTAGCTGCATCTGATCGCACCAGAATGCATCAAAAGTGCTTGCAAATGCATCAAAACGCACTGGAATGCATCCAAAACAGCAACACAGAATTGATTGTGTCAGTGACTTCCTCTTTGTAGGTACAGCCAACACTATCACCATACCTGGCAATAAAGCAAGCATGTCTGAGCTCCAAAACAAACAGGAAATGCGCTGACAGGAAAAAGGAACTGACCTAATTATCTAATTAGCATTTTAGTAACAAAACAAAAAAAAGCATCAAAACGGATCACAATGCAACTGTGCAGACGCACGCAGTTGTGATGCTGTTTTTGGTGTGAACTAACCCTAAGGCCCCGTTCACACTGAGCGATTTATTGCGCGATATCGCTCTCCAATGCTTGGCAATGGGGCAAAGGGTCCTGCTGTCGCGGGTCGTGCGTCGCTACAGCAGGACCCTTTTTGAAACGGATTTTGCCGCGATTCTAGCTTGCTCAATCGCGCAAAATGCAAATCACGCGACAGACGCGCGATTTGCGAATCGCGCAGTGTGAATGGGGCCTACAGGTTATACTGCTCCTTGCTGTAGGATTGCCCAATGGCAAACAAACTGTAGGCCCAGCGCTATGGGGTATAAGTTTCCTGCTATTATCCTTGAGCATGAATGTCTTTCTCAGCCCTGTTGCTTTCAAGACCGGTTTAGTGAATGTTGTGAATTCTTCAGTGAATGACTGCTGGTTGATTCAGACCACCCTTGCAAGTCGTGTAGTCCCACCAGTGCAGTCATTGAGCACAGGTTTTTTTTTTGGATCTGGTATGCTTGTGGATCTCAGTGCAACAGCCGTGCTGGACCCTGCGTTATAGTGCTTTCAAGCTTAAGCGCTGGTCTGTCACTGCAAGATGCTTTCTGTTTCCATAACCATGGCAATGCTTTGCTAAACCCTGTCTCTGCATTGCAAACGTTGTCTTAACCTTTTGCCCCCTTCTAAGCAGATCTAGCTCACACATGCACCTCTATATTTTCTAGGCTTTTTTTTATTTTATTTTGGCTGGAGTGGGCTTTGAGGCATTGATTTCCTGCACACAGTAGGAAAATGGAGGAGGACTGCATATCTATGAAGTGAAGGAAAGCTATCGATTTCTTGCGTGTACACCACTTTAAAGAGCAGGAGAAGAAAGTAATTAAATCTGCACCCACACAAACACAGCTATACTCCAATGCACACCTGCAGCTACTGCAAGCGATCGGGCGTCTCTAGAGACGCCCGATCGCTTGAATGTAAACAGCTATCGCTGGCAGTTTACATTACTAACAGTTCCCCACCCGTGTGCACGCTGAGCGCCACACATGAGCAGGGGGAGGGGCAGGATGTCTTAAAGGTGGCCATACACTTTACAGGGCCTCTGCTTTCAGAAAATATATAATTGTTTGGGTGTTTTAAGCCAAAAATTCTGATTTTAACATTGGTGCAAAAATTAAGAATTTTTTTCGGATGAGCAGTAACGTAGTTAATATTTGGTACGGTTAAATAAGAACAGGCTAAACCCCCACAATGTGTTAGCTGTCCTTTGCTGTTGTTTTTGAACCCATGCCCTTATTAAGGCTAGGTTCACACCTAGGCGACTGAGCTGGTGAGCTGTTTTCACGCGGTTGTCATTTGCGCAATTTTGCTTTGAAAACCGCGTGGTTATCAATGCATAGAGATGTCTATGGGACCACAACTGGCCGAAAATAGCTCCTGCGCCTTTTTGCGCAACAGACGATTTCTACCGCACTACAAATCGCAAAAGGTGTCAACAGCTTCCATAGACTTAAATGCAAATCTCTGTTATGTGCGATATCTGAGCTAAATCCGCGGGATAAATCGCCTAGGTGTGAACCTAGCCTAAATGTTTTTGGACTCTCATTCTGTCTTGTTTGGCGCTCTCATTGCACTGTATATATGCGTATATCTTCACTCCTGGATTCCCTTGAATGTGGTACATCCCATTTTTGTTGAGAACGGCCTCACTGGAGCCATTGAACTTTATCACGTTTCATCCGTTCTTATTATATGAATCCTGCGACCCACCTGTCCGGGTTCTACGCCCAAATAAATGGCTGTGTAAACACAACACACAAAATAATGCGTATAATAACAGCACCAGAATGTGCACGAGGGGGGGGGTTTCATGAAAACTGGAGCAGACAGTTATATTATTGCAATCAACTCTCTTTTGTGTCTTCAGCAAAGCTATGAAAACAAAACAGAATCTGTAGGCCATAGGCAATTACTCCAGATTCTGCCTGCTCCAGTTTTTATGTACATCTTAACAAAGGTTAAAGCAGAACTACAACCTCCTATCCCTTACAGTCAAGCACGGTGCCATCTTAGCCTCTATTTGGATTGCAGTGCCCATGGTGCTATATATGTGGTCAACTATGACACCAGCCATTTGAAGGCTTGAAAGTTAGGGGGGAGAGCTGAAATAAGCACACTGGCACCCTTGACAGTTGGCATACCTTAAAAGAGCCTGTTCACATCAGACGCTGTGTGATGGTGGTGGGCCATGCCACGACACAGTGCCCTGTGTACATTTCATTTGGTTCTAAGGACACAGCAGTTGTACAGCACCGCATCCGACTGCATTGGGAAAAAAAATAAGGCATTCGTTACTTTATTTTTTTAGTGCACACCACTGCATTCTTACCACAACGCAGCGGTGTGAATGGTCACCATCCGTACCCAAGGCAAATCGCCTTGCGTTGGGGGCTGCGCTGGAAACAACGGCCAGCGCAGGTCCAACACAGATGGTGTAAATTACCCCAACTGTTTTGGGAGACATTAAATTAGTGGGTAAAGTTCCTATTTAATGAGAGGAAACTCAGGGTGCTTGTGGACAACCAGTCCCGTCAGCTTGAAGAGTAGAGAGAAGCTCTGTTCAAAAGGTCTGCTCCACAGAGAAATATGAAATGGCAAGAACAATTTTTAAAAACTGGGTTTCTAGCCACACCATACCTAAAAACAAACATGCAGATGGGAATTTATCAATTTTGGAGCAGTTGCTCATAGCAACCAATCAGATCCTCGCTTTAGTTTGTTTAGTTAAGATTTGAAAATGAAAGACTACTATTGGTTGCCATGCGTAGCTGCTCCAGATTTTGATGAATTCCCTTCATAGTGTTTTCTTAGATTTGACTGCAAAAGGTGAAGTACACTTTACAAAAGTGAGGTGTATACTTAGAGAGCCCATGTTGTCAAATTTACTGGCCTCCTCGCAACAAAGGGCAGCCTTTCACTCCGCTCTCCAGCAGCCTCTCTCTCAGGGGGTGTCATACTGTAGTTACTGGCCCAGAGGAAGAATGGTTTCAGGGCTGCTACTCAAACCCATTCACAGTTGCCAAAGTAAATGGCGCTATACGTTCCATTCCAGATCTAAAGAACCTCTTCAGGTTTACAAGTTCTGTATGGAGTCTGTAAGATCGGTCATTGCTTCCCTGCAACTGGGACCTCTGTGGACATCAAAGATGCCTACTTGCACATTCCTATCTTACCACATCAACTCTACCTGTGTTTTTCTGTGGGCACGCAACATTACCAATTTGATGCCCTTCCTTTTTTTTTTTAAACAAGGTTCTAGTGCCTGTCCTAGTTCTGCTTGACTCTCAAGCATCCCCCCCCCATTGTGGGATACCTGACTATCTCTAGAAAATCCTCTGGCCCTCCAGCTGTGAAACTATAAAGCCCATCGTGCATCTACCTTTGAAACTCACGCCTGTGGCTGTCTGAATCTTGCAAATTCTAACAGGTTGTGTAGTTGTACCACTGCTGGAAGGCCTTAGGGCTAAAGGAACAATCAGTCAAGACTGCAGGATCTACACCATCAGTTAGACATTGGCTGAAAAATCGGCACAGGATCTGACTCATTGTTTTAAGTATCTGGGCCAAATTTTGGATACGGCCTAGCCCAAGCTGCTACTTCCCCTGGAGAAGCTCCTATGTTCAGAGCCTATGGTCCCACCCAACCTTTCACTTTTGCATGAAGATTGGGGACTAATGGTTTTTGTCCTTTGTGGCAGTACAGTGTGCCCAGTTTCGCTCCAGACTGTTATAACTCTGGGAGCGTAGGAAAGTAGACTCCATATCTGGATTGGGTCATATGCATGTCCAGCAGAAACAGGATTACCCTGACAGTGGATTTCCGATCCAATGCCGGAATCAGGGAAATCCTTTCTATCAATTTGGAAGGTACTTATGATGAATCCCAGCCTGGGGAATAGTACTGGATACTCTCTTGGGTGCTAGAGACTTTGTTGTCTGAGGAAGCCTGGCTTCTGTTAAGGATCTGGGAACTCAGTTGTCCCTTCAACACTGGACCCCTCAGCTGCAAGGTTAACAGACCACAATAAAAAGTTGGACAATGACATGGCAGTGGCCTACAGCAACAAGAGGGGAACCAAGAGTCACATAGCTTAAAGAGAAGCAAAGCAGATTCTGGCTTGGGCAGAACTTCCTTAGTCAACATCTGGATTTCTGAGAATTTTCTCCATCTGGAGGGGGTTTCTAGACCTCTGCACATGTGAGGGAGTACAGATGTGGACTTTCTAATGCTTAGATTCAATAGACTGCACAGGTTCTCTGCTAAGACCAGGGATTTTCAGGCTTTTGAGGTAGATGCTCTGGTGACTCTGTGGGATCAAGTTGAACCTGATCTATGCCTTGCTTCCGCTTCACAGGATTTAGATGGAGGATTCTGTCAGACTGGCTCCGGAGGACATGGTTCTCAAACTCCTGGCAGACTCTCCCAGATCATTTGTCCCTGGGGATGGTTCACCATCCAGTTCAATCACTGACTTTATTGGCTTGGCTGTTTGAGCACAGGTCCCAAGGAACAGAGGCCTAGCCGATCAACCATGCTCGGAATTAACTTCCCAGGAAGTACTCAGTGCGAGAAATCCAGTCTTTTCACTAATCCTGTCGGGACCAAAGGCCAACTTTAGGCCCCATCTGTTCTTTTCCAAAGACCACTTGCCTCTCACCATTATAAAAGCCTTTTGCAGGGTGTGTGTCACTCACTCCCTAGTGCTGCCATGGGATCTCAGCATGGTTCCCAAAAGGGAACCAAGGTTGCCTTCCTTGTTGCCATCACTGCCACCAGGTGAGTTTAAGATAGTAGCCTTATCCTGTACAGTCCTTGCAAGTGTTAATCAGGGATAAGTTTGTCCTTCTCTTGTCCTGTTAGATTTTGTTTGCTATATTGCCCACCCCTCAGCCTGCTGTTGGACATACCATGACGAACTGTCCTGTAATGTATTTAATAGGATTTGTGTCTTACCCGTAAAATCCTTTTCTTGAAGTACATTACAGGACACACGGGTCCGCTCCTCTATTAGGAATTGCTCATTATTGATTGCTACAAAACCAAGGATCACTGGGAGTGAAAGGGGTTGTATAAGGCTTTGCTACTGTTTTATTTACCAGTGTCCACCTGAAGGTAGCAACACATAACCCATGGCCCAAGACTACAAGATCCTGGGTCCTGTTTCCCATTCCAAGAAAATAATCTTTGCAACTCAAGTCCTTAAACAGAAGTAAGAATGCTACAAATTAAATTTATCAGGTAGACCTTTATTAAATACGGTGCAACATGACTATGTTCACACTCACTTGCGGGTGAATCTTCTGAAGCATGTACATATTCTTCATCATCACCAAGTGTAAAATGTTAGTGAGCCAAAACCAGTAATGATAAATTAAGACTGTACAAGACAGGTAAATTAAGGCCATAAAAATAAACTGAACACACATACATTAACTGAGAACTTGTCTATTTAAACTACATCTGTAAACTGAGTAATTGTTTTAATGACCAGATATCAAAGTCCTCTGAAGCCATTGTGAAACTCACAAGTGAAAGAATTGACGTTTGCAACAAAAGCTCCTAAAATATTAATACACAAGGATAAATTGTGTAACAAAGTTGGACTTTTCATTACGAAGCTGTAGAAGTTTAAAACTTCTCAGAATCCTCTTATTGATACACATATTCAATCTGAGATTAAAACATGTAGAATGTAAACTGAGTGTCAGCTTTTATAAAACAAGGGTTGATTCAATAAATTTCACAAGTGAGGAAGCCTAGACTTGATTGCTCTACAATGTTTTCTAGGCATCCTCAAAACAAAACAAAAAGTAAAATGCCGGCACCAAGTGGCCCTAAAGCCAAAAAAATGCATTGCATTTTTATTTCTTCCCAGTATCACGTTATCTGGAGCAGTAACAAAAGTGACATTTTTTGACTTAAGAGGTCTGGCACTGCACACCACCTCTTGGGTGGCCTTCATCATCATCGTCATCATGATAGGCCTCGCCATTGTAACGTGAACGCCTCTGTTGGGATGGATCAAAGTCCATGAGTTCAGCTTGCTCCATATCTTCAGTCTCTTCAATGGCCTTTCTTGCAGGTAGGAGGCTTTCAAGCATTGGTAGTTTATCTGATGAAATGAAGCCGCTGGATGGAAAATTAACCTACAAAAAAAGTAACAGCACTGTATTGAACATCTCATTTGATTTAAGATCTGTTAAAAACAGAACTTTAATGCAACTTTTTTTTTTCATATAAAAAAAAAAAAAAAAAAAAAAACACACACCAAAACGAAAAAACACAACCCAAAGCACAAAGGCACACTATTCAGATAGACAAAGCCTCCCCCACCGCATTTAGATACCGATTATATATTATTGATTCATGTGTGCATGAATCAAAGTCCAAGAATACATGGCCTAAAAAGCATACATTTCAGTGTAATGCTTCTGCCCAGCATGTTTATCTGTTAATGAACCTTTCATAGGTAAATGGTGTCTAGACCATACACGAAGTTCAAAAAACAAGTTTAAAAAAAAAAAAAAAAAAAAAAAAAAA